CAACAACACTGTAGTAGGGTAGGTACTACTTAGAAACTAATAAATTGAAAACATTAAAATTAACCAATCAACGGTAACCCCTCTTCAATTTAAATATACTTATGTAAAACTGGATAGATTGGCAACCAACACCAAAGTCACAATGTTCAATACAAATGTTAAGACAATTCTACTTTATGGAGCGGAAACTTGGAAAACTACAAAAGTCATCATCCAGAAGATACAAGACTTTATTAACAGTTGTCTACGTAATATACTTCGGATCCGTTGGTCAGCCATTATCAGCAATAATCAAATTTCAGCGGATGAAGAAATCAGGAGTAAACACTGCAAATGGATAGACACACAATGAAGAAAACACCGAACTGCTTCACAAGGCAAGTCCCCAATGGGAATCCTCAAAACTAAATAAAAGAGAAGAGAAAGATCAAAGAACACACTACACCAAGAAATGATGAGAGATATGAGAAGAATGAATGACAATTGGACAGAACTGGAAAGGAGGGCCCAGGACAAAGTGTGTTGGAGAATGCCAGTCGGCAGACTATGCTTCACTGGAGGTATCAAGCGTAAGCAAGTAAGTAATTATAATTATTCATTTGATTGATATAAACAATTGAATTTGTTGGGGTATTCAGAAATTCACCCCAGAAATTATCTAATGCTATTCCTGAATGAGAAGTAGTGTCATTTCCCTATTGGTCAACATTCTCCCAACGTGTCATCTCCTTATTGGTCAATATTTATTTGTGTCACTTCCTGAAGGTTAAATCTTGTATAAATGTTATTTTCTATTTTATGGTACGATGTAGTCTGTTTGTTTTGTATATAAACAAAGTATGTTTGAAATATAATGATTCATATCTCCGAGGCTGAGACTTGTGTTCTGGACTCAATTGGCTGGGCTAGACAGGGGAGCAGGACCAATCAGAACTCTAGGCTGCTCGCACGCGTGTTTTATGCGTCACTGTTTCGATCGATAATAGACTGCTCTCTAATAGGCGGATCACACGTTATAACAGTTTGAAATAATATAATGATTCATATCACCGAGGCTGAGATTGGTGTTCTGGACTCAACTGACTGGGCTAGACAGGGAAGCAGGACCAATCAGAACTCTAGGCTGCTCGCACGCGTGTTTTATGCGTCACTGTTTCGATCGATAATAGATTGCTCACTAATAGGCGGATCACACGTTATAACAGAATTATTTTTGTTAATATCAGAAGGGATTGTGTGGAGATTTTAGAAATTTCACTGGTTGAAATCATGAATCCATTGAAGCTAGACCACCATGGAAAACCTGGAAGCACTGGACGGCCGTTTCGTCCTAGTATGGGACTCCTCAGCAGTGCGCATCCACGATCGCGCTCCTCGCGAGATTCGAACCCAGGACCTATCAGTCTCGCGCCAGGCGCTTAACCAACTAGACCACTGAGCCAGTCGGCATCCAACGGTGTTAATGTCTAACTTCAACCAATCCACGAAGTTGCGCCACCGTACAATATGCCTTTAAATTTTCAATAACTGAAATAAGACATACCATAGTTTCAAATCCATGAATTAATGACATAACAATAATAATCTAGCCAATAGTCTAAACTTCAATTACACGAGACATTATCAAATAATCAAATGTATCCTGTAGACTTACACTTTTAATGAATCAAACCATTCAACTCACAGATCATAACTCTCCATCAAAATCATCCATTTGATAGATAAATCTTCGCCATCATCTTAAAAGACTTACACTTTATTATGTGAATACAAACTAATGATTGACTCTATCAAATTTGGCAGATCATTCACTGTTTGGATGTCGACGAATTTATAGCAATCATAAACTAAGATTTGTTTCTCTCATCATTATCATTGTATAGAATATAACCTAGTCACATGTAGAGTTTCATGAAAGCGACGCATAGAGCTTTCGTATAATTCAATGTAAAAATATACGTAAATTATCTTTACTTTAGGGAATAAAATGTCTTCTTGATTAATAAACTGAAGTGGTGGGATAAGACTTTTTCATACCTTCAGGCATCTTATTCATACAGTCTATGGATAATGGTTAACAATATGATATGAAAGAAAATGAAACCTACCAAAATGATAATGATAATTCAATTTATAACTAAATGAAAATCATTTTATAAAATAAGATAAAGTAAAGATAGTTATTGCTTTGATACATTTCTTTATTGTTCAGGATTGCCCAGGACAGGGTTGGATGGAGAATGCTGTTGAGCGGCCTATGCTCCTTCACGAGGAGTAACAGGCGTAAGTAAGTAAGTAAGTAAGTAAGTCAGTAAGTAATGATGTGAATGTGTATATGAATGGAAAGAACTGAAAAGTATTGCCCAGGACAGGGTTCGATAGAGAGTGCTACTGGGAGCCTATACTCCTCCACGAGGAGTAACAGGCGTAAGTAAGTAAGTAAGTAAGTAAGTAAGTAAGTCAGTAAGTAATGATGTGAATGTGTATATGAATGGAAAGAACTGAAAAGTATTGCCCAGAACAGGGTTCGATAGAGAGTGCTAATGAACGCCTATGCTCCTCCACGAGGAGTAACAGGCGTAAGTAAGTCAGTAAGTAATGATGTGAATGTGTATATGAATGGAAAGAACTGAAAAGTATTGCCCAGAACAGGGTTCGATAGAGAGTGCTAGTGAACGCCTATGATCCTCCACGAAGAGTAACAGGCGTAAGTAAGTTAGTAAGTAAGTAAGTAAGTAAGTATACAAAGCCAAGATTCTTCTAGAAAATGTAACTTTTAAAGCCTATAATCCTTTGTTAATATACTATCTTTAGATTCATACTGAATAGAAAGATATATACAGAAATTTTGATCATATTTCATGTTCTTTGAGATGTATTTGCTAAATTCTGCTGCATCATAGCGTTCATGTCCATTTTAATATTCGGAGATAATTTGTTTTGCACAAAATGTCAATTCATTGTGGAATAATCTACTGAACTCAGCATACAACAAATACTATTATTGTTATAACTTATGGGTTTGTGTACCTATCAATATATAACGTAATGATACCGTCAATTAGAGAACATTGAATTATCGATCAGACCAATGCAGCATAAAAACTGTACAAGCAGTCAAGAGTCCTTAGAGGTCCTGTATCCTACCTATCCCAACATCTTTTAAGTCTAGAATACCCAATCTCAGCCTCTGCGATATGAAACATTTATTTCAAACACACTGGGTTTATATACAAACCAAACAGATCACATCGTACTATAAAATAGAGAACAGCATTTGTACAAGTTTGGTTATTACTTTAACCCATTTCATTTACGAAAGTTTCATTGAACATCGTGAATCAATCAGTATTAAACCACCCTTGAGAAACTGGAAGCACTGGACAGCCGTTTTGTTGTGGTATGAGACTCCTCAGCAGTGTATATCCACGACTACACACATGGAACTCGAACCTGACGACTTCAGTCTCGAGAGCAAACACCTCACCTCTAAACCACTAAGTCAGAATCTAGCAGTGTAAATCTTCAAGTTCAATCATCTTCCATTGAATTTTCAATTAATCTTCTATAATGAAATTTCACTAGTTATAGAAAGATGATAAACCCTTGTTGTTGATTCATTTTGTTGTGTCCCTACCACTCTTCTGTATATGTATCATTATTATTTTTTCTTTGTAATTGACTACTATTTTGCATTTTTTTGTACTATTTATATGAATTTATATATTTTAGTAATAGATTATAATTGTTGGCTAATATACATAGTTACCTGTTTTGACTATATCTCTGCCCCCAAATGCCCTGGTACGGCCGAGAGTGGGAAGAGTCCGCTCTCCCTCTCCAAATGCTCTCATATGGCCACATGTATATAGCCTCTGCCAGGGAAGTCCTACTCACTGCCTTCTCGTGGCGGGGGTGTTGTTTACAAAAATGAGTAGACGAAAAGCGAATGTCCGGCACCGGCTTTAACCGAATCCCAAATCAATGGTGCACATGGGCTCCAATATCCTGCCTGAAGGAACAAATGGCGTATGAACCAATCATTGGTCACCGGCTACCATGAGACTGCATCTCCTTACGATGCTCTCCACTGCCTTGTAAATCAGATCTTTAGGTCGAATGCTCGGGTTGTGACCCCCTAAGAAAACCACCTACTTCGTTTTGGGCACCCGTGCGGTATCACAGCTCTCACACAAATCAAATGAGATTCATGTAGCGCATATGTATTTGGTGTCTCCCTGTACCTATACTTATGTGTTAAAATACATCAATAATAATCATCTCAATGCATGATACACGGAGAACAGCAATCCAATCACTCCTGATGGCGAAACTCTGGAAGATGTGGAATCCTTCACATAACTGGGAAGCATCGTCGATAAACAAGGAGGTTCAGATGCAGACGTCAAGGCGAGGATTGGCAAAGCAACGACAGCATTCTTTCAATCGAAGAAAATATGGAACTCAAAACAACTTTCAATCAATATCAAAGTCAGAATCTTCAATACCAACGTCAAGGCAGTTCTACCGTACGGAGCTGAGACGTGGAGAACTACAACAACAACCATCATCAAGAAGGTACAAGTATTTATCAATAGGTATCTACGCAAGATACTCAACATACATTGATCGGATACCATCAGCAACAACCATTTTTGGGAGAGAACAAACCAGCTTCCAGTTGAAGAGGAAATTAAGAAAAGAAGATGGAAATGGATAGGACATGCATTACGCAAATCATCAAATTGCATCATGAGACAATACCTAACATGGTATCTTGGAAGGAAACGAAAAAGAGGAAGGCCGAAGAACACATAACGTCGGGAAATAGAAGCGGATATGAAAAGGATGGATAAGAACTTGAAAGAGCTTGAAAGAATTGCCAAGGACAGGGTTGGATGGAGAATGCTGGTGAGAGGCCTATGCTCCTTCACGAGGAGTAACAGGCGTAAGTAAGTAAGTAAGTAAGTAAGCAATGCATGATAAATCAATCCACTTACCGTAAACCTTTAGCCATTTCAAATAAATCCACAAGAAATGCTTGTTCTTGATTATGATTATTCTTATTATCATATGAATCTATTCCTAAACTAACAATTAATGCTATAATATCTGTATTATCTGCTTCTATTCTTGTTTTTGGTTCAAATGTATGACAATTAAAATAAATATGATGTGTAAATTTCCGTATATAGAAACCATCCATTTGTTGACAATTATCTTCTATTTGCATTGTATGATTAATACGTCGCATACAATTTAAAAATACTGTAATATCATGTCCTAGACGATATGCATCCATTGGTTTAATATTTTGATAATAAATCGATAAACTATCATATTGATAAAGAGTTTCCGCTGTATCTACATCATTATTCATTAGATATTGATGTGTTAAATTACGCATATATTGATTAAATCGACTTGGAGACATCACTTGATTATGATACCATAATTGATAGGCATTTTGTGAAAATGGATAATGATGACATATGGTTAATGCTGGAAATGGTGATTTCATATCTAATTCAACATGGATATTTACGGAGACATCATAAATCAAATAATCTTGTACTAATAGATAGGTGGTTAAAAGAAGACCAATTGTCATGATAAATATAAAACAAAACCATAAACCTTTAAGAAAAGGTGTTCCATGTTTAATACGTGCAATACCACGTATAGAGAATGTATCACAGATTAATTCTAAAATATTGATTTTTTTATTGATTTTAGATGATTGATTCATTGGAATAAGATGAGTGAATTTCTTTGTCGGTATATGTCCATTATTGATTTGTATTAAATTAGAATTATCATTATTCTTTAATGGTAGCATAGTTTCACTAATTGTCATAGTGATAGTTGAATCATTATGAATATCTGTGTGAAAAAATAAAAAAAAACAAAACAAAACAGATAAACACAATATTATGATCGATACAATTTATGTCATTCATTGCTGGTGAACGGTCTATGCTCCTTTATGAGGAGTAACAGGGGTAAGTAAGTAAGTAAGTAAGTAAGTAAGTAAGTAAGTAAGTAAGTAAGTAAGTAAGTAAGTAAGTAAGTAAGTAAGTAAGTAAGTAAGTAAGTAAGTAAGTAAGTAAGTAAGTAAGTAAGTAAGTAAGTCAGTAAGTAAGTAAGTAAGTAAGTAAGTAAGTAAGTAAGTAAGTAAGTAAGTAAGTAAGTCAGTAAGTAAGTAAGTAAGTAAGTAAGTAAGTAAGTAAGTAAGTGAAGTAAAGTAAGTAAGTAAGTAAGTAAGTAAGTAAGTAAGTAAGTAAGTAAGTAAGTAAGTAAGTAAGTAAGTAAGTAAGTAAGTAAGTAAGTAAGTAAGTAAGTAAGTAAGTAAGTAAGTAAGTAAGTAAGTAAGTAAGTAAGTAAGTAAGTAAGTAAGTAAGTAAGTAAGTAAGTAAGTAAGTAAGTAAGTAAGTAAGTAAGTAAGTAAGTAAGTAAGTAAGTAAGTAAGTAAGTAAGTAAGTAAGTAAGTAAGTAAGTAAGTAAGTAAGTAAGTAAGTAAGTCAGTAAGTAAGTAAGTAAGTAAGTAAGTAAGTAAGTAAGTAAGTAAGTAAGTAAGTAAGTAAGTGAAGTAAAGTAAGTAAGTAAGTAAGTAAGTAAGTAAGTAAGTAAGTAAGTAAGTAAGTAAGTAAGTAAGTCAGTAAGTAAGTAAGTAAGTAAGTAAGTAAGTAAGTAAGTAAGTAAGTAAGTAAGTAAGTAAGTAAGTAAGTAAGTAAGTAAGTAAGTAAGTAAGTGAAGTAAAGTAAGTAAGTAAGTAAGTAAGTAAGTAAGTAAGTAAGTAAGTAAGTAAGTAAGTAAGTCAATAACTAATCACGTAAACGATCAATATTCAGTAAGAAATACATCGATGTATTTACTGTAGTGTTCATGAAATTCGAGAATCATTGAAAAAAAATTCAATAGTTGAGATCATAAGTCATTGAAAGTTTGACCGCCATACAAAATTTAAAAGCACTAGATGGTCATTTCATCCTTTTGTGCATTCATGATCCCACTTCGTAAGATTTTAATCCAGGATCTATTAGTCTCGTGCATCAGCGCTTAACCACTAGACTATTGAGTTGACTAACATTCAACAGTGTTAATATCTAACTTCAACCAATTTAAAAAAGATCAGTTACACATCCATAATTGTGTTCAATGAGTTACTATCTCAAAACAGACCCCGGTTGAACTAAACTCGTCAACAAGAAAACAAGAAATACTTGTCATTATTGGGGTTGTGAAGATTATCAAGTTTTCGATTGAGATCATGAATCGACTGATGTAAGACCATCGTTGGAAACCTGGAAGCACTGGATGGCTGTTTCGTCCTAGAATAGGACTCCTCAGTGACAGTGCGCATCCACGATCCCGCTCACAGGATTCGAACCCACGGCCTTCAGTCTTACGCGCAAACGCTTAACCTACCGCAACACTGACCTACCATCCAATCCATGAAATTTCGTGACTATCTTCCAATGTACTGAGGTAGATACCTGTCTCTAACCGACACAGATTAGCTCCACTGGTTACAGCTTCTCAATAGAACTTCGAGAATTCCCTCATGAAGCTAGTCACTAGTGAGCACATCCTTTCTAGGGTATTTTAATTTAAATTTTTGATCAGTATAACACAATTATTAGTAGTAGCAATAGTAAACAAACATTGTTATGGATGAATTCACTTAAGTGTGTATAAAATGTCAATGATAGATAATATCGGATGTTATGTAGTAGTACGATACACGTAACTACTTACAAAATGAATGATCTGTAAATTTCATTTGGACATATAAATGAAGACTAATATTCAGTGTATATATACATACATTTGTGTATATATGTATCTTAGTGAAACACTTAAGGATACATTATGTAAGCAGATAATTTCTACTTCATAGATTTCAAAAACTCATCTGAATATAAAGAAAAATAGGGGGGGGGGAAACGTTGTTTAACAATGACTACGGTAATGCCAATATTAATATGTTAGGAAGTAAGAAAGACTATGCATGGTAAAATACTTCATAGAGAAAGAAGTAGCATTTAATAAGTTAATGATGTTAGTCTTTTAAGAAAATGACTAATTAAACAATTACTCTATAAGTAGTATGACGTGTATTAAACTAAGAGTAAGCATATAAAGAAATTTGTATGCAAATAAATCAGTCAATAATTCCGTCTGAAGTCCCTCCGTGAACTACTTCCGGTTCCAAGCCCGAATAAAGGAGGAAGGTTGCGCATGGGGTTAACCACCTCATCCCATAGAAAACTAAGTCGCTAAAAAAAATGCTAACCAGTAAAAATTTATTTAAACTCTGTCCTGAGAGTCAGAAGGTCTTCATTTAGATGATTTATGACGCCTCATGATGAAAGTTGAGTTCCTCCGGAAGTCACAAGGCCGATGCCCCTTCTGACAACCAGAGCAACCATTTATTTAAGTACATGGAATGCTCGTACAATGTGGGAGATTGGGAGAGTTTTTCAAATTGCTGTAGAAATGAGGTGATACAACCTAGAGGTGCTTTGAATCAGTGAAAGGCATTGGATGCAAGTTGGACAACAACGACTTGCTTCAGGGAAGCTGCTGTTATACTGCAGCCACGATGAAGAAAATGCCCCACATACACAAGGAGTTGCATTGATGCTGTCCAAACAAGCACGAAATGCACTTATAGGATGGGAATCTCATGGATCAAGGAACATCAAAGCCTCCTTTAAAACAAAGAAAGAGGGCATTACAATGAACGTCATCGACCAGCCCCACTGAAAACACCCAACATCGAAGCGGCACTCACGGACCTCCCAATCGATGTTGGCCCACCAACAAATGGGGAAATCAGCACGGCCATCAGACAAATCAAGAGTGGCAAAACACCAGGACCAGACGACACTCCAGCAGAGGCACTGAAAGCAAACGTACCTGTAACTGCAAGGATACTCCAAACTCTCTTCAGAAAGATCTGGGATGAAGAACAAGTACCAAAAGACTGGAAAGTAGGACTTCTAGTCAAAATACCATAAAAGACGATCTCAGCAAGTGTGATAATTACAGGGGCATCACTCTTCTCTCAATACCAGGAAAAGTCTTCAACAGGGTATTGTTAAACAGGATGAAGGACTCCGTAGACGCACAACTTCGAGACCAACAGGCAGGATTCCATAAGAATAGATCGTGTACAGACCAAATCGAAACTCTACGGATCATTGTGGAACAATCAACTGAATGGAATTCATCACTCTATATCAACTTCATTGACTACGAAAAAGCATTTGATAGCGTAGACAGAACAACACTATGGAAGCATCTTCGACACTACGGAGTGCCTCAGAAGATAGTCAATATCACAAAGAATTCCTATGATGGATTAAACTGCAAAATCGTTCATGGAGGACAGTTGACAAACTCCTTCGAAGTAAAGACCGATGTCAGGCAAGGTTGCTTACTCTCACCCTTTCTTTTTCTCCTGGTGATCGACTGGATCACGAAGATGTCAACATCTGAAATGAAGCGCGAGATACATTGGACATCTAGGATGCAGCTGGATGATCTAGACTTCGCAGGTGCTCTGGCTCTTCTATCGCAAACGCGACAACAAATGCAGGAGAAGACAACCAATGTAGCAGCAGTCTCAGCAGCAGTAGGTCTCAATATATACACAAAGGGAAAAGCAAGATTCTTCGATACAACACAGCATGCAACAATCCAATCACAATTGACGGAGAAGCTTTGGAAGATGTAAAAACCTTTACATATTTGGGCAGTATCATCTATGAACACGATGAATTTGATGCAGATGTGAAGGCACGGATCGACAAAGCAAGAGCAGCAAATTTACAACTGAAGAATATCTGGAACTCAAAACAATTAGCAACCAACACCAAAGTCAGAATTTTGAATACAAATGTCAAGACAGTTCTAATGTATCGAGCGGAAGCTTAGAAAACTACGGAAGCCATCATCCAGAAGATAAAAGTGTTTATAAACAGTTGTCTACGCAAAATACTTCGTATCTGCTAACCAGACAATATTTTAGTGGTCCGGGATTTGACTCCAAGTTGATCGTTGTGGAATTAAATATGCGCCTATCCTCGTATATAATCATAGACTTGAATCACGTTAGTTAATAACGGAATTAAATAAGTCAAATAACAAGAATGGAGTTTTGAATGCATATATTTTGTATAATTGTTGATTAGACAAACGAACGGAGGAACGATGCGAAGATGAGAAAGCGAAGCTAAATTGACGGGCGGTGGAGATGGCTGGTAAGCCAACTCTCCCTTTAACAAAGAGTTAATCAATATTTATAAGCACATCAAGATAAATTACAGACATGTGATGAACAGTGTGATAAGAAGTGTACACACGCCCACGTGCTCATACAAAGACAGTCAAGACATTGATAAGCGAATAATTAACAAGGTCAGAATGTGACTCAAATAGAATGAATAGATTGAAATGTCCGAAATCCCAGAATAAAGTATATGGGCTTAACATAATGACAGACACTACAATATCAGCAAAAACTTACTATGGGAGAGAACAAACCAGATCCCAGTGCAGGAAGAAATCAGGAAGAAGCGCTGGAAGTGGATAGGACACACATTGAGGAAAGGACCGAACTGCGTGACAATACACCCTCACAGGGAATCCTCAAGGTTAAATAAAGGAGGTGAGGAAGACCAAAGAACACATTACGCCAGGAAATGGAGATAGACATGAGAAAAATGAACAAGAATTGGATGGAACTAGAAAAGGAGGCCCAGTATAGAGTGGGTTGGAAAGTGCTCATCGGCGGCCTATGCTCCATTGGGAGTAACAGGAGGAAGTAAGTAAGTAGGTATAAATCAGGCATTGTTGCACTGATTCATCAATGACTT